AGGGAGGAGAAGGGCAATTCCGACCTCAGGGAGGCGAGGGGAGACGGGGCGGGGGGGTTGGATGAGCACGGGTTGCCCCGGACTCGTCTTCTCAGGGACAGAGACCGAAGTGCCAGCGGGAGGGGTGTTCTTCGGCCAAGCGCGGGCGGCCGTGGCAGAGCTCCCCCGGTGCCGGCTGCGGCCAGCGTCGGGCCGAAGGGCTGCAGGGCTCCGCGCGTGCCTCTCCGCCCGGGGCTCGGCGCAGCCGCCGGCATCCCTCGCGTGAGGCCTGCGGCTTTTGCCTTTCACCAACTCTGCAGCCAGAGGGAGCGTAGGAAAATCTCCTTCCCAGAGCGTCTCCTCCCAAACCCCGGGCTGGCCAGGCTGGTACTTGCAGTGTACGGTATAATTAACATGCATAATTGTATCAATTGAACTGTTTTTCCCTTTTCAGGCTAATGGAGGCTGGCAGGACGCGACTACTCCATCTTCTGTGACTTCCCCTACAGAAGGGCCGGGAAGTGTGCACTCTGATACCTCTAACTAATCTCCTAGCAACACTTTTTCCCTGAGCTGAGATGCCTTGATTAGCGCATTCAGAGTCACAGGAGAAAAAGGAAAGAGTTTTTTGTAGCCAACCACCTACAGCTTTACTGTAAAACCTTGTCTTATTAGAAAACTTGGTAAATCTGTTTTTTAAAGGTATCATAATCATTTGTATTTATACTTAAAACACACAATGTTAAAAAGCACTTTATCCAATTAGGCCAAGGTTTAGCATTGTTTATAGCCCTGTAACTATTTTATCATAATTTATTATCAGCAGTTTTAATGATGTTGGTCTAACAGTTGCCAATTACTTGGCCTTAAGGGTAAAAGTACAGGACGAGCTTAACCTCAATAGCAAGAGCAGACACAAAGAAACACCTCACCTAAATTTAACTTCGTGCATATTTCCATGGAAAGTCAAAATGAATCGCAGACTTTGATTGTGTTTAATCTTTTCATATCTCTTATAGAGTTGGAATAAAAAGAGCTGTTCGGTTATTTCGGTTAACAATGGTTGTGTTTAAGAATCCTTATTCGTCACATTTTTGTTGTGATCTATTGTCTTACAAATTAGATTGGAAACCAGGAGGATCTTTTCTTGCTAAAACTACCCGGACCCCGAGTCTCCTCTCTGTATTTCAACACCGGACATAGGTTGTTCTTAGGAGATGAAGACACTTGCTGCTGATCTCTGTGAAAGCCAGGACCCGGGGTTTTACAGTACGAGCTAGGTGCTGCACACGCCTGCCAAGATTCGTTACCTCTTCTTGGCAGCAAACCACAAACAAACAAAGGAAAAAAAGCAAAGGAAAAAAGCACCATCATATGGAGTGTTGTACATAGTGTAGCAAAAGAGTATTTATACATCTCACCAATCAAACACAGCTTTATTACCTCATGCGAACTCATACAAACCAATAGACTTTCAACATGTTCTGTAGCTTAGAGTGCTCACTTACTACCTCTGAACGATACTCACGCTGTAGTTTGTCTCTTTCTTATCTTTTTGCATCTTGTAATTAACTCTTTGTTTCCCCATGAAATGTAATGTACATTGTAATCTTTTAAAAGAATCAGGGTTGCATTGGCAACTTTTAAAGAAGCGGAAGTGGAAACATGGGGTCTTAGGTTTAACACAAAACAGTGAAACTGTTGTAAATACTGAGAAACATTTTGAATGTTCTTCATCTTGTTACTAATCCACGCAAAAACCAACAACTAATTGTAATGCATACAGACTTCAGTATTCAGTACTGTATATTTCCCCCTGTGTAACAGGGGGCCCTTTCTTTCTCTCTTTTGTATTGTATGCGATTCTGAAACTGATTGAGTCATGAAAATAATTTGTGGCAGTGATTCTAATGTATTAAACCGTTTCGTGTTACTTTCTAACTGGATTACACCCTGGATTGAAAAGTCTTCCTCGTGGTAGTTATATGTAGTTTCAAACATGAATAAACTTTTTGCTTTCATGATCAAACGTTGACGTAATTTCTTCCTGCTCAGTTTAAGTCAGACCTAGGAGATGAGTAGGCTACCAGAAGCGCAAGCTGTCACGAAGCAGGAGCTGAGCATTTCTTTAAGTACCAGTGGGTCCTTGCGCCCTCTTGCCTGGAGGAGCCTGGCAATCCCGGGAGAGGCGCGTCCTGGCAGGGAGCAGGAGCAGGAGCTGCCCCCCCGGCCCCTGCCTCCGCGCCCACCCTGCTCTGCTCGGGAGCAAACGTGCAAGTGGAGGCGAAGGAAGGGGTCAGTCCTTCAGATGAGTTTAAAAATCATCATCCTATTCACTCTTAATTACCATCTTTATTTAACATTAACTTTGGAACGACAACCTCAGCTAGCAAGTATAATGTGATTATAAAAATATTTTTCTTTATTAAGAAAACTTTTTTGGAAGGACGTATATATATAAATGCTAATTTTAAATCTTTTTAATAAAGTAAAGGTCAATAACAGGTAATAGCCTATTTACCATATCTCACGGAAATTGACTCACAGGAAATCAAATTAACGTTAATCACTTGCAGCAAATGGTCTTTGATAAATATAACTACTTACTACTTGGGTTAGTGTAGCTAGGCAGGAGGAGGGCTAGCGCTCCCTACTACCAGCCTGTGCCAGGCTGGGCTCGAGGAGCTGCCTGCCTGCCACCTTTCCTTTCCAGTCAGCTCTTCAGGCCTTCAGGTGGTGTTTTGGTGGCTAAACGATTATTTGCATGATTCAATTAGCTTGGGGGTCGGCTTTTCTTACCAACAATTCTTGTACCGGGTTATTTCGTACAATGCCTTTGTCTACCCGCTCTCACCCCCAGGACCACGGCCGCACTCGTCTCCCTTTGCATCCCGTGTGCCCTTGTGCACCAGCTACTGCTTCTGCTGTTGTTTACAGAGCAGACTCAACTTCTCGATCAGTCTTAGAATTGAATATTGCTTCTTTCACTACAGGTGGTGCATTTAAATAAATAAGTAAATAACTAGACGTGCATTGCAAAGCCTTCATTATCAGTTAACGAGAGTCGGGGCAGATGGGGACCGTGGACTTCCGAAGACTTCTGTGAGCAGAGGACAAAGCACCGAACGATTTGCATTTGCTAATGGAGCTCCCCAAATCCGCACGCTTGGTGTTTATGCTCCAGCTCAATGGAAACAGTGTTTTAAATGTAAAATGTGTCAGTGGAGGCGTAGGCAGCGTAATGAACACACAGACGTCCCTCATCTTGATCACATCTCTGCTGGCCACAGGCAAGGACCTGTCACACACGGAGGAGGTTCATAGGAAGGCCATCAACAACCTTTGGGCCGCCCTTGCGTGCCCCGCGCCCGCTGGGCATCATTAGCGTGCTGCTTTACAGCATTAAGGCTGTGGGTCCCTTTGAATTACAAGTGCAATTTGGCCTTTCCTTACATTGGAGAACAGCCACGTGGCTACATGGCAAATAATAAACATCTTATCCTTGAGGCGTGCGCACACATCAGAGAGGTTTACTGCAAGCACCCGTGTTAGGACCGTGCTGCTGGTGGTGCTGTGTTTCACCCAGTAGCGGCGCCCCGAAGGGCCGGCAGAGCCTCGCGCAGGAACGGCGACTGGGGCGAGGATCCCTCCTCCGCACACGCACCGCGCCCGGCGCCGGCGGCCCCCCGGCCGTGTGGGACCCTCTGCCGCAGCGCCGCGCGCCCGTCCTGCAGCGGGGAGGAGACCCTCGGCCCTCCCGCCCGCGGGGCTGCTCGCTGTCCCCGCGTTGGAGCTGCTGGCGCACGTGGGCGTCGCTGCGAGCGGGGCCGCCGCAGCCCCGTGCCCCCCGCGCACCGCGGCGGCAGAGGAGCGAGGCCCGCCAGCCCCGTGCCCGGTGGCTCCTGGCGGCCCTGGGAGGTGCCAGCCCAGAGACCCCGCACCCAGCACAGCGGGGCCGCCCGCGGGATCTGCAGCGGGTCCCCGGAATCGCCGACTCCCGTGCCCGGCACCCGGCGCCGTCATCGCGGCGCTGTGCACCACGGGGCTGCGCGGGGCACGAGGGCGCCTGCAGCAGAGATCCCCGGTGCCTCCCTGGGCGCGGCCGGACCGGCCGCTTTTGGGACCAGCCCCGGCTCCGTCCCACCCGCTGCGCACAGGGCGGGGGGCAGGAGGGGTCGCGGGGAGCCCCGCCGCCAGCGAGAAACCGCGCCCGGCACGTTGTGACCCGCAGAGCTACGGGAGCAGCCCCGCAGCCCTCTCACAGCCCCACGACGGAAAGCAAACCTCCACGTGCCAAAAGCGAAGCAGGTGACGATCTCCGCTCCCCGGCAGTCAGGCGCCGAGCTCCCGGCTCCCGGTGTGCCTGGCCTTGGATGCGGCGAGGGATCCTCGGCCCAGCGAGGGATGAGTCGGGGACGTTGCGACCTTCCGGCACGGCAGAATCCACGCCCGGCGGGACTGGGTCAGTGAGGGCAGCGCTGCTGACGATGCCAACTTGGCACGGCGTGTGCTAGGCGGGCCGAGGCGGTGTGATCCTGTAGCGGTGGCTTTTGCAAAGACCACACGCAAGTTGGGTGTAAGATGCTGATGCCAATATCCGTGCCATGTATTTCCAATGTGATAAAAATAACTCTGAGTAACTGAAGATGTTTCCAGTTTGTGTTAATAAAATACATCTTTTTAAAGAATGGAATTCTTCAAAGATTGGCAAATTTTATTTTATTTCATTAGCTTTAATGTCACTGCCATATGGACTGTGAAGAAAAGTGAACCATTAGATGAGAGGGACTGAGTTATCAGCATGACACAGAAAGCACTGATACAATTGTTAAGGATAAGCCCTGGGAGTGATTTATTGCATGCATTGTATTAGCCACAGAGGAGTTATGATATGCTCCCCATTCCTGTATCATATTAGGATTTTATTAGTCTAATATGACACGGTAATATAATATATGATTAGAATTCCCATCCAGTTATCCTTCCCTTGGTGGCAGAGAGCAGGAGAAGGTTTTTGTGTG